TAAAAGCTCTGTTCTTGTAAACCACCGGTCGTCCTCGGGTTCCTGGTATGCAAACCTAACTTTGTACTGTTTCTGGGGACGACCTCGGCCTCCTGTCCTAAACACGTCCTCTTCCACAATGCCCTCTACATCATACGCGCCATCCATGTCTGGAGGAATCATCGACCTTCTGGAAGGGAACCTGTCAACCGTGGTGCAAGGCAACAACTTAGAGACGTGGAAGACTGGGTACTTGTGGAGGTGTGCTGGGATCTCTATCGTATACGACGGGCCGTCCTCTCCTCCTTTGACTTCAAGGACAGGCCACGGTCCTCCATATGCAGGTGAGAGCTTCTGCGAGATGTTTTCCTCCGGTGCGAACTCCTTTGACTTGACCCAAACTAGGTCACCTACCTGAAACTGTGAAGGTCGGCGGTGCTTGTTAGCCTGCTCTATCATGCGGTGCCGGGCCTTCCTCAGGTTGTCTGTGACCTTAGCAACCTCTTGCTCATGATGGAGTGCGAACTCTCGAGTACCGGGTGGATGTCTCTAGATCTGATCCCGGTTTAGTCCTTCTAGTGGTCGCCTAGGTTTAAAAGACTTTTGTAGTTCATTAGGAGTCGGACAAGTAGCTAAGTGAACGCTGTTGTTGTAGGCGCTTGCTACTTTGGGGATCAACTCGTCCCAATCTAGCTGATCTGGTCTAATGTACGTTCTGAGTAGCTGTTGCAAGATCTTATTCATCTGTTATGTCTGACCGTTAGTCTCGTGTCCTGACGACATCAACAACTTAGACCCATATACTTTCATAAGATCTTGCCAGTGCTGGCTGGTAAACCGGGTGTCCCTATCACTTACTATGGACAATGGCATACCATTCTCGCTTACCCAGAAATCAAAGAACTTCCTTATAACTAACTCTGTACGGGCCTCTGAAGGCAAGGGAACAAATACTGCATACTTACTAAATCTTTCTACTATGACCATGACTTGAGTTTTTCCATGTTTGCTTCCGACTCCAATATCCATGAAGTCAATGGACACTGAATCTCCGGGTCCGGAGGGAATAGGCAAGGGTCTAAGAAGACCTAGGGGGGCTTTAGTCGTAGCTTTATTACGCTGACACACTTTGCAACTGCGCACATATTCTATGCAGTCTGCTTTCATGCCTGGCCACGTATAGGACATCATCAGGTTAGCTAAAGTCTTCTGCCATCCAAAGTGCCCTTCTGTATCGTGGCATTCCCCTAAGATCAGACTACGGATCTCTTCACTATTGGGGACACATAGCCTGTCAGCAACATTAGTCTTTTCAAACAGTAGCCCATTCGTGGTCCGGTAGTGTGGCTCACTATCTGGGGCTTCCCTTACTCTTTTGAGCAGCAAAGCAGCTCACCATAGATTGGGTCCTGTGCATAGGCATCTCTTACTTTCTGCTGCAGATCGGCCCCTATGTCTAGATAGTGTACTACCGCACCGAAATAATCAGATCTCCTGCTTAGCACATCAGCTACCACGTTGTACTTGCCTTTAACGGGTTTTAACTCAAAGTCATACTGGTCTATCTCAGCAGCCCATCTGGTCAACTTGGGCGTCATCTTGGCCTGTGTCTTTAGCCATCTAAGAGTCTCGTGGTCTGAATAAACCTTGAAGTGCCTCCCAAGCAGGTAGTGTTTCCAGTGCTCTAGAGCTTGCCTGAGAGCGTAGAGTTCCCTCTCGTATGTCGATGCGGCGACTTTCTCTGAAGGCAGCCTGGCTGACATGAACTCTACGGGCCTATACCCGTTGCCGTCATCTTGCTGTAGAACGGCACCTATGCCATATTGACTCGCGTCTGTAGTAACAACAGATGGCAATGATGGATCGACAACTTTGAGAACAGGGTACTCTATCAAAGCCTTCTTCAATTTCTTGAAGGCTGACGTACAATCCTGATCCCACTTCCAGATAGCTTCTTTCTTCAATAGTCTACGAAGGGGAGCAGCGATCGTAGAGAAGTTCCTCACGAACTTCCTGTAGTAGTTAGCCAGTCCTAAGAAAGAACGCATCTCTGTTAGTGTCTTAGGAGTTGGCCAATCTCTGATGGATGCTATCTTGCTATCCTCACGCCGAATACCATCGCCGTCAAGTACATGGCCTAGGTAAAGGACCTGTGTCTTGTCCCCTTCGCACTTCTTCGGGTTAATCTTAAAGTTAGACTCTCTGAGCTTACTTAGAATCTGTCGTAGATGGCCCTCATGTTCCTCGAGGGTCTTGCTGAACACTAGGATATCGTCTAGGTAAACTACGACGAACCTATCTAGCCAAGGTCTAAACAAGTCGTTCATACAGCACTGAAATGTTGCAGGTGCATTAGTAAGTCCAAATGGCACCACTATGAACTCGTAATGCCCATACCTTGTCCTGAACGCCGTCTTATACTGATCGTCAGGGTGGACCTCTATCTGATGGTACCGTGATTTTAGATCTATCTTCGAGAAATATTTGCACCCCTGAACTCGATCTAGCAAATCATCTATACGCGGTAATGGCTCTGGACTCTTAATCGTGATGGCGTTCAGTCCCCTGTAGTCAATACACATGCCCAACTCTCCCTCCTCCTTTGGGACAAACAGAAGAGGTGCACCGAACGGCGATGAACTAGGCCGGATCCATCCTTTTTCTAGGAGCTCATCAAACTGCCTGCGTAGCTCCTCTAACTCTTTGGGAGACATCCTGTAGACTGGCCCCTCTGGCGTTCTACTGCCAGGTTCTATTTCTATTCGGTGCTGGATCGGTTTGGGCACTACCCCTGAAGGTGGTTCATATAGATCCTTATATTCTTCCAGCAGACTGGCAATAGCAGGATGGATCTTTTCTTCCTCTATAGGCTGATCGGACACTGGCCTAACATAGACCACGAACACCTGCTCTTCAAGCTGCTCCTTTCGCACAAGCCTGGCGAATGCAGGAGCGCTGAGGCAGCAATGGGCAAGGGGATTATCTACCCCGGACTCATGGAACAGGCGGACTTTCTTGACTTCGCCTGACGCACAAGGGAGCGTACACTCATGCTCTCTTAGGTGAAGTGTGGCTCCTACTGCCTCTCCCCAATCTGTGCCTAAAACTATGTCAAACGGGAGACTCTCTTCTACAAGGAGGGTCAGGGAGTGCAGTACCTTCTCTACCTTGCCATCTTTCTCCAGGCGAAAGCAGGCGTGAACCCCCTCAACATACTCTTCGACGCGCATCCTACTATTGTCTGCGAGGATGCTGACCACAGGCTCTTCTAGTCGTTGGACCTTTAGGTTCAACTTCAACTTCCTCAACGCTTTACGACTAATAAAGCTCCTAGTCGCCCCGATGTCTATGAGGGCTCCTACTCCAGCTCTAAATATCTCTACATCTGCGAGGATTAGTTTTCCTTTACTATCCTTCTTCATCTTGGCCCAGGCTTGCCTCCTCTCTCTCAGTTCATCGGCTAAGCCTGTGAGGGAAGCGCCTAAAGAGGCCCTAACACAAGCGAGCTCTGGACAGCTTACTAGACGCTGGCCTGCAACCTCTGCCATGGAAATATGTGGAGTGGGAGACTCTACTTCGCTGGCACGCTCAGATCCACATACTCCTGAGGTAGGGGCAGTTGCAACCCCTACCGGCGACTGTCTTTTGCTGCCCCAGATACAACACGGTCCCTATACTTAGGACAAAATTTGATAATGTGGCCCGGGTCCCCGCAGAATACGCATTGAGAACTATTAATGCGTTCTTGCCATACCCTTTGATCTATACCCAGGTCTAACCAAGGTCGGCCTTCTGGCTGGCCTGGATGTCACCTTCCTTGTCTGGGAGGTGACCAACTAGAACGCGGACGATTAGACGGGGGACCTCCCCTTCCTCCCGCTTGGCGGTTGCCATAGCCACCAACCCCCTGGCCGCCCTGCCCTCGGCCACCCTGGGCCCGACCACTTGGGCCGAACCGTTGTCCTCCTTGCGGCCTCCCTCCAGCCGCGACAACAGCGTAGGTTCTCCCCTGGCTTGCGTTGTTGTCCTCCTCTAATCCCCACTCGATGTCAGAGTAGGGAACCTCCTCTGCACCACCTTCCTCCATCGTTAAGATCAGACTATCTTTGGCCTTGATTTGGCCTGAGATGGCGCATCCCTTCAACGTTTTTCCTTTAGACAGATCCTTGTGCCAGAACGTGGTAACTGGCGACGCTTGGGCGGCAAATGCAACTGCCTCCCAACTAAGTGTATCGTGCGTCATGCCCTGCTTATTCTTCTTCTCAAAGAAGTGTCCCTGAATATTTTCAGGCAGGGCGCGGTAGAAGAGGTTAAGGAGTTGCACATCAGTGACTCCATGCCCAGGGACCGCAATCAGTTCGTCCATAGCGGACTTTAGCGCATGCACACTCTTCCACTGGCGAGTGTGGATCATTTGGAGTTTGTCTGGGGCCTTAAGGCCCCGCGTGACATCAGAAAATCGCTCCCTGAGGGCTTTCAAGAAGACGGAGAGGGGTGTCAGTCTGGAGTATGTAACCATATCGTTATCGCAGTTGGCAGCGCGGGCTAGCGACCTAGCAAAGCTAGTTGCTTCGTCTCTAAGGACCTGGAAGCCCACCAAAGTGTGGTCTTCAGGTGTGACTCCCTGCAGATACATATAGGAGTGCACATTGGCCTCCCAGTTATCAAAATCTTCACCCTTCTTCCCACTGAAGGGTTCGGGAAATCGGACCTTGACTTTCTCGCGACGTGGTGGGGTCGGCTCCTCTTCCTTAGGGGCCGCTAGCTTGGCGCCTTCAATAAAGCCAGTACAAAGCTCTCGGGTCCTATTAATCGCAATGTGCACTTCGGTCAGCAGGTGTTTCATCATGTCGCACGCGAAGTCCTTGAACCCCGCGCGTATCGCGTCTATCTTGATGTCTTGACTGCGTTCGTACTGCATTTGTTCCCGCTGTGCGACTAATAAAGCCTCTACACTTTGGATCAGCGTATCTAGCTTGGTTGCTAGCTCAGTCTCCGCTCGGATCTTCCCCATCCTAACTTCCGCCGCTCTTANTCTCTCTCTCTCTCTCTCTCTCTCTCTCTCTCTCTCTCTCTCTCTCTCTCTCTCTCTGTGGTAGCCCCCCCCTCTATTCCACCCAGACGAGTAGATTCGAGTTGAGCCAACCCAACAACTAAAGATTTTCACCTCTTTAGCAAGCAACATGAATCATAATAGAACCATTTAGAACTGTGTTGTGTGTGTGTGTAAATGCCTTCCTCACACAATATCTGCTCTCTCCCTCTCACTCAACACTACTAGCTATGGCGCCTGACACTGTCCATTATGCACTCATCAGCCTCACTCGATGGTGACCACACAAGTCCACAGCAGCGCTTCCACCACAAACTCGAATGGACATCGTGTTGATGCTTCACTGCTGCTTGAACTTTTGTACTTGATGCACTTCCCAATCTTGGACCTTTGCGGACCCCTTTGCTGACGGCCAAGGTCAGCTTTCGACGCATCTTAAGTTTCGTGGACTTTCTAGGGACTGAGCTGCACTGGACCAACAGACTGATGACATGCAACCAACAAACATGGCCTGCCAAAATTTCCTTACCTACCAGCCCACTGGATGGACCTACAGGACTACTGTCTTATTGCACAGACTCGACCTATGACACCTACTGATTGGGGTTATGATACATGGACAATGGGACTTGGAACCAGAACCAGGACTTTGAGATGCATGAAATCCTTTCACTCCTGCCGGCATAAATTCAAGGTCCTCTGGGAAAGCTAAGACCTTTCCGTATTGATCCGCAATGTGAACGCCCCTTCTTCCTTATTCGTAGTGTGAGAATATGCTTGGGGCTGTGTCACTTGACTGTTCCTTTGGGAACCATCTATCCTCCTCAGGGTCCCAATACTACCAACCTGCTCTGTACTACTGTTGAGTCTGTCCCTTCTGCCTGTTCTTAGAGCTCAACTACGGAATCAATGACATAGCTGCCATCCATATCTGGTGGAATCATTAATTACTGAGGGGAAGGACCTATCTGAGCTGCAAGGCACTAGTTTAGACGCATGGAATACGAGGTAGGTACGCAGGCGCAGAGGGACATCAATCGCATAGGATGGGCCATCCACATCTCCTATCATGTCTAGCACTTCCCAGGCCCCCCTGTCGGCAGGCAGCAATTTCCAAGAAATCCTTTATTCTGGAAATGAGCTCTTTAAACTTTACCCAGACTACCTTCAGGTCACCTACAGCAAATGATAACTCTATACGACAGCTGTTTGCCTGCTGAATGATATTCTGGAATGTGCTCTTTAGACTTTACCCATCCTCCATCTTTGTTCTACGTCGGAACCAATCCATCTCAATCCCATCATAGGCACTGACTCGGCCTCACCACCTTCTAAAATGACAAATCTACACTCTGACCTAAAACCATTGACTTTGACTCGCTACAAGACTGGTCAACTTCCCTAGCCCACTTCAACTTTTGTCTCCACTGCAGCTAACCACATGCTGTTCTGCCAGCTCACAGCCCAATTGAAGGGTTGCTTTATGAGCACTCCCCATGCTGGCCAACGTAGCTACTACAACCTTAGATTGTAGAGAGTCGTCCAGAGCACTGACTTCTTCTTCTAAGCCCACTATTTCCCACAGATCTATGACAACCGAAACTAGGCAATGACAAAGTAAGGAACAGTCTGCCAAGTCCTCGACAACAAATTTATGGACAGGTTGGTCAAGAGGGTGCCAAAGCAGTTTACAATCAGACGCTCTAAGGCCTCCACACCCCCCAAAACTTGCATCAGCGCCACAAGAGTTGACCACAAGCAGGTAAGTCCCAGTCCTCCGAGCTACACAGGTGGTTCACCGATCGATTGCCAGTCTGCCCGTGCACCTGTTACAACTTTTGCGTTGCTCCACACAGTACCCCGAAAGTTCCTGTACACCATGAACAGAGCATTTCATAACTACATAGGCAAGTATATCGGTGTCTATCTGACTTACATTCTTAAGAACACTTTGGAGCATACAGAGTACCTAAAGATAGTTTTAGATCTCCTCGGAAAGCACCAGTACAAGATCAATTCAGATAAGTCTGAGTTTGGACGCTGCATATCTCAATAATGAGATCCCTCATAACAAGCCATTCGTCGTGACGACAAATGCCAGTCAATATTGGAGCCGCAGTGCTATACCAAGCCGAGGGTAGTAAGTGGAGACCAATAGAGTACATGTCCAAAAAGATGCCATATGAGAAGCTTGTGAATAGTCCCTATTAGAGGGAGTTACATGCACTCTATGTGTCATTGAGCATTACCTCCATGGAAGACATTTTGAAGTCAAGTCTGACCATGAGATACTCCAATACATCAAGACAACCAATACATTCTGATATGCCCAATCATCGGATACAAGCCGTAGACATGAGAAAGGTAAAAATGTGGTAGCTGCTGCGTTGTCAAGGAGAGCAGACTTCCTGGGTGCACTGGTGATTAGTTTGGCTCAGAAGTCTGACCATGAGATACTCCAATGCATCAAGACAACCAATACATTCTGATATGCCCAATCATCAGATACAAGCCGTAGACATGCATAAATTCACACTGAATCATGAGAAAGGTAAAAATGTGGTAGCTGGTGCATTGTCAAGGAGAGCAGACTTCCTGGGTGCACTGGTGATAAGTTTGGCTCAGAAGGGTGTACGTTAGTGGGTGGTGGAACCCTACAAAGGAGAGCGTTCTCGGTGAAATCATCAGACGCCTCAACACTCGAGATAGAAGGGAATGTTGTTGCCCAGTACGTATGGGTCTGAAAAGCTCTTACTACCCAGTAACAAGTCTCTCAGGAGTTCATTCCTAGGAGAGTAAAAGGATGCTCCGGGTCACTTGGGGCACAAGAAGACTAACACTAGTCTGTTCCAGGGATTCTGCTGGTCGGGTATAGGAGGGATATTCACGCTTATGATGAGGGCTGCCAAGTTCGTCAAAGGGACAAGCCAAGCACACACAAGCACCTTCAGTCTTATTGAAGCCTCTCCCTCTTCCCCATGGTCCTGGTCAGCCAGTGGCCATGGACTTAATTTGATGGACACACTGGTGAACAGCAAAAAAGGGAAACAGGAAGATTCTGGTTAGAATTGATAGACTGCCCAAGTTTACAAGTTTCATAGCCATGCCAGCTCCTTCAAAGAACGGGATGAACGATTTGGATTACTCAAAACTGAAGTGATGGGGACATGCGGTTCATGAGTGAACAGCAGCATGCCTTATCTAAAAAGTTCGCGTTAGAACTGGCCATGACTTCGGGAAATCATGCCCAGGCCAACAGCCGGGTTAAACAGATGAACAAACAAGTGCCCAGGTCTACAGCCGGGCTGAGCAGATGAACAAACAAGTGCAGCAGCTTCTTAGGCACTATGTAACCCCTGATGAACTCAATTGGGATATACATCTGCCTCAAAGACTTGGATCATATAATAACACTATACATTCAGCCATAGGTAGATCACCCAACAAACTGCATTTGAGCTGGAGACCGAGAAAGCCTTTGGATTTCTTCTTTCCAGATCCTAAAACACAGAAGACCCTGGAAGTATACGAGCACTCTGCAGAAAATGTAGAACAGCTTCATTAATCTCACAGGGCCATGATAGAATGAGAAATCAGCATAGACGGATGCCTACTTTCTTTTCTTTTCTTAAAAAAATAAAAAAAATTGGACCATTTCTCAATTTATGCGTGTCATCCTTGCACAGGGGCCATGCGAATCTTCTCTGTGCAATCAGACTCAACTCTGGACATGCTCACAACATGCACACTTGAGAACCGATGGCAAGACTGAACTCTTTCAACTCAAAAAAAAAAACAATGAACTTGTCTTAAACTCAATCTTAACAGCTGCACAACTTGCGGCTATGGCCGCCGAGCACGATCTCTACCACCAGCCTCACTCTCTCCCTCACTGTCTCATGCGTGCACGTACGAGGATCACCCTGAATGTCCCCACTCAGCACAGCCTCACACACTCTGAACACTTGTCTTCACCAACAGCTGGGCGRMTATGGCCGTCRTCGTCTTCCTCCTGCTGGCTATGGCCGYCGACATCTACCCCACTGGCCAGCKATGGCCGCTGTCTTCTTCACTGCCCACTTCGTCTCCAGGCACCTGCAGACCTCCATGCACAAGACACCAAGGCAGCTCTTCCGCATGGCTCACAGGCGAATGAATRAATGGCTGGACGCTGCCTGTTTATTTATACTTCTTGGGAGGTACCCGGACCCTGCCTCCAGACCTGTGGGCCTGGGCCAAAACGTGTGGCCCAGGGAAGCTTCCAGACGTTTGGCCTTCTGGGCCAAAACGTGTGGAACTCTCTGCATGCTCCAGAACCTTCCCCACGTGCAGCCCTTACCCAGGTACATGCTGGCTGGACCCCCCCTACAGAACCCTACGGACTTCTGGAACCTSCAGACTCTACAGACTTTCGACAGACTCAGTAGAGACTTCTAGAACAGGCTTTCTAGGCCTATTGGTAACAGACCTAGCTGCTAATCTACAGMCCTAGGGATCAAGTCCTACTGACCAAACTACAGACTAACCTAAGTCGTAGGACAGGTTTGGGGATCGAATCCTACTCAGGTCACGGGGTCTATGTACAGGTACAGGGTAGGTCTAGGGATCGAATCTCACTCAGCACACAGGGTAAATGTACAGGGTCAGGGCACAGGTCTAGGGATCGAATCTCTGTGACTGCAGTACAAGGTCAACTGGGTGAAACCATTTCATCTGTATCGTTCCAATTTTAACGGACGTCCCGAAAGGACACGGATGCCTACTTTCTAGGTTGGTGACTTCACATGTGTTAATCATCTGAGCGTACACCAGAGCACACAGCGTGCAAAATGATGCCATTGAACTATGGACCACAGACTGTCTTAGACATTGCAGAAGATGATTCTCACAGTCCCACCTATC